TCTATCTATCTATCTATCTATCTATCTATATATATAAATAATATATTCCATATCATATTATGGCGTTACTCAAGATCAGCCCAGTTGCACTTTTTAACAAACTGTAAAAATCTGTCATAACTAAAAAAGTAATTAAAAAGTTTCTATTTGATTGTCTTAAATCTTCTGCAGTGTCTTATTATTGTTCTATCAAAAGTTTCTCTTCTTTTAAAACTGCACCGTGGGGCAATGTGGTGCATCGCGACGCAGTTTTCTGTTTGCACCGCCTTTTTGTCTACCAAATGAACGCTGCAGAGCAAACCGAATCCTCTACTGAAAATTTTTAAAAACCCAACAAAAAACAAAAGAACAAAAAAAAAAGCCTAAGAAAAATCCAACTATGTCGAAAATGTCTCTTCATAATAATTATGGTTAGGATTCACGATTTGATCAAGGGTTACTATTGATCAAAGTTCCAACGCGTACACAACCGAGTGGACGCTCACGGAAATAATTTGGTAGTAAAGTTCATTGACATTTAAACCATTATGGAAGTATATCAAGCCTGTGTTTTGGGCTCCCAGGTATATTAAAACAAGTATAACCTTGAACATCTTTGTTTTTATTCACCAGGAGGAAAAAGAACTCAACCGTTTTAACAGGAAATGCAATACGTCTTTGTTTTGATCATTATGGCAAGACAAGTTTATCATAAACACAGAAGTGTTGATGTAGCCGAGAGTTTCAATGTTAATTTAGCTGCTCATGCAAAGCATACTTAGGTCGAAACTAAGAGCTTTGCTAAACTAAATCGACCGCACCAGTGACCAGCAAAACTGCATAGGTAGGGGATTGTAATAATTTGAAACGTGACGAAGTGACCACAAAAGACAGCCGTGAAGGAAGATGACAGGGGTAAGTAATGTCACAATATGGCACTGTTTGAAAGAACCATTTCCTCAATCTAATAACTCATACTGACGGTATCCCTTAAAGAAATTTTTCACATCGAGGATAAACACCCTAATAAAGCACAAACAAATTGAACCCTTTCTTAATATAAACATTAAAAATAATTATGTGCTTAGTTTTAGATTAGTCTTGGCCAAGATAAACAATCGATATGATAATGGTAATCAGCGTAGGAAAAACCCAAGAGAGACAGAAATAACAGACAGGGGGGGAAAGGAACAGGATTTAGACATGGCTCCCTGCAGCGACTTTAGAAAGCATTCCAAAACGTTCACCTACCTTTTTATAATATCATGAGGAAACCATCATTATTCTTAACTGCCACCTATTTGTTTGTTTCTGTTTGAGTAAAAAGAAGTAAATAGACACAATAACGTTCATTTGGTAGAGGGGGTAAATGCCAGTGTGAAGGCCAGAAATAACAGAGAAAGAAATGAAGAAGGGCTTACCAGTGCGTGGCGTCTTTCACCCACTTGGATTTATTATGCTTTTCTAACTCTAGATAAAGTAACGAGGAAACTGGTCGTTTGAATCCTTCCTTAAATGACTTTTTTTCTTCTCGTCAGCTCAGTGCCCATACGACCCACTTCGTGAAATGACCATATTTGAGTCTAGTCTAGAACTTAAGCTAAACACGTATCATCGACAAACTATGCAGATGCTCTCAGCCATGAAAGAAAAAAATGTATTATGTACCCCCTCTTCTATTTTACAGCATTTAGACTCTGAATTTTGACCTCGAGTATACCGAAGCGATAAACTAATTATGGAACATTGTTTTTTATATAAAAATGTTGGGCTCAGAAACATCAGAAACATCTGAGCAGCTGACAGACGATATCGACATTGACTCCACAGACCTGTTGAGCTCTGAGCAGTTCTTCGATCTTGAGTCTCTCGTCAATCAGACGTTTTCTCGTATCTTCCATGTCGTGAAGAAGTGTGTTGCCTGAGGAAATAGTAAGCGGATCAGGTGGTCAAAGGGTTAACGAGGGACATAAGACGGTTCTACGGTTTTTCGTATACACGTTAATGATAATATAGTTGGCGTCGCAAGCAATCCAATCAAGTCCGTTCAGATGTTTTTTAACAAAAGAGTTTTAAAAAACTCGTTTTTTGTTGAGTTGTTCCTATCAGGAATCATGAAAAACAAGATAACTGTAGAAGTCTAATCCTAGGCCATAGCAATGAACCACAGCAGTTACATTTCAGGAGATTGCAACAATATCACCAGGCCATAACGGTAACTAAACGATAACGATACTATAGTATTGATTTGCTCTTAACGCTCTACCCGAGAAAGGAGTCATCGGGGATGTTGTTGTTACTTGCTACTCTTCTTCTTCTTCTTCTTCTTCTTCTTCTTCTTCTTCTGCTTCTGCTTCTTCGTCCCCAGAGGGAATCTCTGCCTCAAAAGGTAATCCTTCAACAAGTATTTCAGCATAGCATACAGGTACCGTCAGTTCAAAAACAGGAAACTCATCAGTTGTCCAGAAATTGGCTCTCTGTTAGCTCCTGGTACTTAAACAGCAGTACTCCGTGTACATTTAGAAAAAAAGTTCTGTAATTGTTCAGCTCAACGTATGGCTACTGCAGGTTTTGGAAAAAAATTACTTTAGCCCCCCCCCCCCCCTCACAGCTACACACACACACATACACACACACACACACACACACACACACGCGCGCACGCGCGCGCGTACACACACACACACACACACACAAACACACACACACACACACATACACACACACGCGCGCGTGCGCACACTCTCTTTTTAAAGTAAAATGTTATTATTATGTTAAATTCGTCTTCATGCATACTATCCCGGTGTTGGTCGCATGAGAGTGGACACTCTTTAAGTCAAGTAATTCCCAAATGGAGGGTTGACGCTGACGTTTACCCAGTTTTTTTAAAAGTTTGTGGTTCCCTTTAGGCATAGACATTTTTATCCTATGTTCTAGCTAATCCCGCCTGTACGTGTACTGTACTGGTACTGGGTAATGGTAAAGATTTAAGGCTCCTTCCAAAACTAAGAAATGATCTACCTCTAAATCCAGCGTCCGTTTCCAAAAGCACTGATTGAAGTAGACTGGGAGCTCTTTTGTGAACTTGTGTTGATTAAACACCCTGTTCGGCACGTAAAACGTATCTAAAATGGCGAGACCTCCACCTCTGAATTTAACATCCATCTCTGACATGAACGAGCCAAATGTATGGAAAGACTTAAAGACTCCCAGAAACAACCTTATTTCAGAATGCCCGCTTGATACCAACTGAGCTATCGGCAGGCCCATAGAAGCCTCGAAAACTTCTAGAAAAATCAAAGTTAAAAAGCCCCTCATTAAGTTTCGAACCACGGTCACCCCGCCAGAACCCTTCATGAGCTAACGACGTGATCATGGGCCATATTATGTTTTATGGAAACTTTGTAGATATAATATAGAGTAGATAAACAAATGAGTTGGTGCATAATGACATTTTTACCTCTTTTATTAACTTTTAATAATAACAAAAAGCGTTGAAAAAAAATACTCACTGGACGGACGCACCACAAGAGGAGCTGTCTTCGGCTGAAAAAATAAAGATAGATAAAAACCCACATTAGAAATCCCAGATAGGCAAATACGAACTTGAAATAACTTACCATACATGTCAAGACCACAAATCAAAATCTAGTAGTTTCTCATTATACAGGCTTGTCACGCGTATTTTCTATAGTCAAAGCCATAATACTCTTACATAGTAATAAGATACTTTGCTGTTAAGTCCATATGATTGAAATGTACTCCAGGGTTTATCATAACAATATAATAACAGCGTAAAAGGAAGTAATGGCAGAAAGCTTCGCTATTTAAGACCTACATTTCGAAACCGTAAGCTGACATACGGCTAACTAAAATGAGCAACAGCTGAGATTAGCTCTTCCCCTTTGGTCCCTCTCTTTTTGTAGAAAATAATAAGGGTGACATGTAATATTTTCCGAAGCCTAAAATCACAAAAAGCAGCTGGCAAAGTAATGTCGTAGGCAGGTGAGGAAGGGGGTGAGGGTGGAATGGGTCAGGGAAGGATAGACTGGTTTTAAAAAAGGGGGGTGGTGGGAGATGGAGATGGGAGGGGGGGGGGAACTAGGGCGGGGCTAGAACACAGTAATCTGCTTACCGCCTCTATGGCCACGGACTTCGCCTTCTCTGCATACAGTCTTTGTCTGTCGTGTTCCTTCCGCTTGTCGTCCAGGTCTCGCCTCATGGCTTCCAATCGCCGCCGAGCCTGTAGATATCACAGGTTTGAATTGTATTTTTTTATGGAAATGTTCGCATTTTCCCAGTTGGTTATGGTTGCAAAAGATGAAATGGGCTGTATTATGATTGTTAGATTTTTACTAAAATCATCATCATCATCATCATCATCATCATCATCATCATCATCATCCGGTGCCTTGCCGACTGGCGTGGGCGATCATGGACCTCCACTTCACTCTGTCTTGCGTTGCAGCAATGGTGTCTGTTAGATAGGAAATTAAAAAACACAGACGTATCTTTTTATTATTACTATTATATTTTTGGACCGTTGGACGAATATTGGTGAGTTTTTTTTCACAGACACTTTCTCAATCTCTACGAAAACATATTTATGGGTACATTTTACTACCAAATGCTTAAATAAAAATACCAAACCAACAAGTTATTTTGTTGAAAAATTACGAGTATACAACTTTAAAATTACCAAACTTTGGACCGCATTTTTTGGGGCTATTTTCACTTGTTACAACAGATAACCCCCGCCTTCGTAAATTGTACATATCTGAACTTCTGTGCAAAATGGATGAACAGTTTTTCACCGAGCTCAAGAAAAATAGGTAAATCTAAGCTTTAATGTGATAATAACAACTCCATCTGTCCAAAAATTGTCACACGCTTGCTTTCACTGCTTTCATCGCGCTACGACACGACATGTGCTTGAGAGACAGGGTTACTGTCTTTCTTTCATTATGTTCTTGTGGGCTACATGTATTCTTTCTATATAACTTTTGAAAATGTGTCACGTATGTAATATTGTGTCTTCAACCTTTTTCGTTACAATGAAATATATTTTGATAATAATCATGATAATAATAGTAATCATAGTAGTAGTAGTAGTAGTAGTAGTAGTAGTAGCAGTAGTAGTAGTAGTAGTAGTAGTAGTAGTAGTAGTAGTAGTAGTAGTAGTAGTAGTAGTAGTAGTAGTAGTAGTAGTAGTAGTAGTAGTAGTAGTAGTAGTAGTAGTAGTAGTAGTAGTAGTAGTAGTAGTAGTAGTAGTAGTAGTAGTAGTAGTAGTGGTAGTGGTAGTAGTAGTAGTAGTAGTAGTAGTAGTAGTAGTAGTAGTAGTAGTAGTAGTGGTGGTAGTGGTAGTAGTAGTAGTAGTAGTAGTAGTAGTAATAGTAGTAGTAGTACTACTAGTAGTAGTAGTAGTAGTGGTGGTGGTGGTGGTGGCGTTAGCGGTGGTGGTAGTAGTGTATATAGTGCCTCCTGTAAAATACCAGATTATTGTCTGTCAACTTAACAGTCGAATCAAGACAGAACATTGTGACACCATTAAACAACAATAATAAAAACAACTACATAAGCAAATATAACACCACCACCACCAAAAACAACAACAACAAAAACACACACACGCACACATACATTGCTTCCAGTTCCACACACATTCTCACGTACAACATTTTTGGACAGGGGATAGTGTTAAACAATTAATGTAACGTATACTTCTCTCTCTCTCTCTCTCTCTCTCTCTCTCTCTCTCTCTCTCTCTCTCTCTCTCTCTCTCTCTCTCTCTCTCTCTCTCTCTCTCTCTGATGTTATGATTGGCATTTCTCTACAAGGAATTCTAATTTTTGGGGCAGTGGAAGAAAACGCTTTTCAAACCAACCTGTTAGACTTTACGGTGGGAACTCTTGCGTGAGATATTCATCCGCAGTTCTCACAAAATTGATGTCTTCATGTTATATATAAGGTCTTTAAATTAATGTTGGTGAATATTGCAATCGATTCACCCTTTAAATGGTAGTCAATGTATCCTTATCAATAAAGATGTGTACTCTTGGGGATTTTTCTTAAGATCAATCGCGCAGCTCTTTTTTGGAACCGCTACAGTCTGTTAGTCATTTCTAAACTTAAATTGGCAGAAAGAGAATTACAGTAGGTAGTGAAGTCTTCATAAATCAAAAGCTGAAATGACAATCTGGAGATTATTTTGATTGAAAAGATGAGGAATTGGAATTGTCCTTAATAATTTTGATTCAAAACATGAAAAATATGACCTGCCCTTCTTAATCGAATGTACATTTGTTTTTAAAGGTGATTGGTGTGTTGTTCCAGGGATAGTTTATAGTCAAAGTAATTGCCAAGTTAATTTTGCCTTCTCACTTATAGAATCCATCCTATTGTTATTATAGTTACTGAGTTCCAATTTCCTGTTGGTATCACACCACACTAAGTGCTTCCGTCTTCTCCTCCTTTATCCTTAGTTTGTTGGCAACCATCCACTTTTGAACACTTTCCATACGACAGCTGATACTGGTCAGAAAGTTGGCCACATCAGACTTTCGAGAGGATATTATTATATAATACAGTTGTGTATCATCAACAGATACATGGACAAATGTAGGAGCCAATATGTTGGTGATATACAGCTGATATACAGCTGTATTATTTGTCCTATCCAAATGATGATGATGATGATGATGATGATGATCGTAGAGATAAAATTGATAGCCTTGATAGACTAGCATCAATGTCTTTATAATTAGCCCCCTTGGCCTAGCACCACTTAGTCACTTCCTTCTAGCCTGTAACCACACGTAATCCTAAGACCCCCTTTGTTAGGCCCATTTCCCTGCTAGTGTACAGCGCTCATTTAGTTTTTCTCCCAGTTGCTCCCGAGGAAGCCCACGGGGCGAAACGTTGAGCTGTGTCTATCAAACACATTTAAACATTTTATATTGTTATGTTATTTTGTCTAAAATTCAATCAAGACTCTCCCTCCTACTCTGCTTATAAAACAATGATGATGATGACGATTACTCTTATCATTATTATCATTATTACTATTATTACGATTTCTACTACTATTAGTATTATTACTATTATTATTAAGTTGTAATTTCATTGTAACCTAAAACGATGAATTCGACCATTACATAGGTAACACATTTTCAAAAGTTACTTGGAAAGAAAAACAGTAGCTTACACGAACATGTAAAAGAAAGACTGTAGCCCCGAAAGTTTTTTCTGTGACTAATATTGGCAACCATCCACCTTTGAACTATTTAAATACGACAGCTGATACTGGTCAGAATGTTGGTCACATCAGACATTGGACGGGACAAATAAATGATACAGTGTTGTGTATCACCAACGTATACATGGGCTCTTACCTTCTTAAAGGCTGTGGGTACAGAGTTTTTAGTAATGGGCCCAGAAAGGAACATTGGAGCTCTCTGGAAGACTCTATGCTATTGACAATGTATATTGACTGAGTGTGATCACTCACATTTCACAGAAGGGTTGAATGAAGTTTAAAAGTGAAAAGTTCGATATTTTCCCGCTGTCAAATGTAGTTTTAAAAATGCATTGATGAACAAAATGGGACAAATCTCATAAAACCAAAACAATAAAAATAAGATTTAAAGCTTTAAAGCCCCCACCCCCCTAAAAAATCCTAAATAAATAGACAAATAAATAAATAAACATAACAAAACCAACCCCCCAAAAAACACAACTATAACAAAAAACAACAAAAATAAACAAACAAAAACAAACAAACAGTCAAACGAACAAGCAAACAAATCAGCTAACATGCAAACTGAACAGTCGAAAGACAGGCAATGACGCAATTGACATATTGCGACTGACTACTATTCTCCTTCTGATATTTATGTGCTGCGATTTTGACTAAATAATAATAATAATAATTGCATTTATATAGCGCATATCCATGCTCAAGAGCATGCTCTATGCGCTTTACAACTATCATTATCCCAGCAGACCATCTGAGAACACTCAGAAACATTCTCGGCTTCCGCAGAAGCATACAGTGAAAGCTGCGGATTTCACGCGCTCAAACACTATCAAACTGACAAGATCGTTCACTGTCTATAGCCGGGTACCCATTTCCACCTGGGTGAAGTAAGGAAAATTTGTGCAAAGTGCCTTTCCCAAGGACACAACGTCGGGCCCCTGACGGGATTCGAACCCACGACCTTACGGTTGCGAGTCCGAAGGCCTAACCATTAGTATGTACCTCTGACTCTTGGTCAGCCAGTCTCCTCCTCTCGTCGTCAATTTCTCTCCTCAACCTTCGATGCTGATCGTCCTGATCTTTGGCCATCTGGGCTTTCCTTCGCTCCACCTCCAACTGTAGAAACAGGACAGTGGATGGAATTCACTTGGGTAGATAGATAGATAGATAGATAGATAGATAGATAGATAGATAGATAGATAGATAGATAGATAGATAGATAGATAGATAGCTAGTTAGATAGATAGCTAGATAGTTAGATCTTGAATTCCGGAAAGAGTACAAATCAAACAGTTAATAACATCATAGTTAAGGTGATGACAATAGTATTAATTTGTTGTATAAACATCTCGAAAACTCGTTTTAAGGGAAATCTTTTTTTGTTTCATTTCCAAACATTTATAATTTTCTTTTTACTTCCGGGTTGTTCTGTAGTTTAAAACGCCCCAATCACTGCCTGTCCCAGTCACATCTCCCACCCCTACAAAAGATTGAAAGTAAAAAATACAACAAACCAACAAACAAGCAAAGCAGCCAGTCAACAAACATGCAAACAAACAAACAAACAAACAAACAAGCAAATAAGCAAACAAAACAAAACAACCCCCCCCAATACAACAACAAAACACACACACAGACACTCACACACACACACACACACACACACACACACACACACACACACACACACACAATTCTTTTACACTTATCATTATTCGGACGTATATAATATACTTTTAAACATTGTGGAGCACTTTCAACGGATTCTCCAAGAAAAAAATGTACTGACTAGACATTTCACTGTCTTGGTTGGGAACAAATGCTGACCGGGTTACGCGATAAACATGTGTATAACGTGTCATCCACAAGACAACAGACTAGGATTTCAATCGGCTGCCTTACGTCGGCAAGTCCGATAGTCTATGCGCTAGATCTCTACTTTCCATTTGAATGTGCCTTTTCAAAATTTTACGACAAAATACAGTTGAACATATTACAGGCACGGTAACACGTTTTGGAGGAGTCGTTATTTCAAAAGTTATCTTTGTATCTTTATTTCAAAGGTTGCCTTCCCCTTTGAAAAAAATCCAGATGTATTCATAGTAACAGATGTCTTCCATAACTATATGCATCAAAGGTGTTTCTATAACAGCATCAAAGGCGTTTGATAACACAATATAGACTGTATCGCAAATAACGGTTGCTTGTGATAAGTTGATATTCATACTAGTGCCTTCAAAGCCACATGTTCCCTGCATGTGAAGACACAGTGGCATGTGACTTTGCAATATTACTATTCGACGTTAGTCCTATTATCTCGGCTTATCTTGGTTCAAAGAGAATAATATGTTAACCCAATTCAGCTTGCATCCACGATACATTAAGAGTATTCCAATTTTTAGCCAGTCGTTTGGTATCCATTTCAAACAGCTTGCTGCGTGCGCTTTCCGCAATGCCATGTAATATATAGTCTCCTAAATCTTCTTGAACGACAAGAACATTATAGTACGATGGGCTAGTTTGTTGATATCACGTAAATTATTTTGGGAGTACCGTTTTGTAACGCAGTATTAATCAAGGAAAGACACGAGGAGTCCATAAAACAGGTATGGACACAAATTGGAAATCGTGACGATATCAGTTGCAAAAGTTTGGTTTAGATTCTTCGTTATTGTTTAATTATTGGTTCATCTTTATTACAGGTTGACTAATTGATGTCCTCGTGATTTCAGTTTTGTAATTACTATGCACGAACCATTCGTGTAGTCCACATATTGTACTTGTATTCCTGTTCTACCTGGGCTACTATTGCGCCTGTTCTAATGCAAGGATGATAATGACTACAAAACAAATAATAATGATAATTATATTGATAAAAAATAGTAAATTTTATTATTATTGCTATTATTATTATTATTATTATTATTATTATTATTATTATTATTATTATTATTATTATTATTATTATTATTATTATTATTATTATTATTATTATTGTTGTTGTTGCAGTTATATAGCGCATATCCACATTCTACAGCGTGCTATATTATGCACTTTACAACAATCTAGTATTACCCCAGCAGACCCTAGCACAACCAGAAACATTCTTGGCTTTCCGTAAAGTATGCAGTATAAGCTGCCAATTTCAGAAACTAAAACACTGCTGTCTATTGCCGCCTACCCATTCCCACTAAGCTGTAGTGAGAACAATCCGTGTAAAGTGCGTTTCCTAATAAGGGGTGCCCACATACGCGATCGGGTTCGGTCGGATCGAGTCGGGTCAATCTGGTAGTCGGGGTTAGCCAAATTGAGGGGTCAAAGCGGCCACAGTGGCACAAACCGATCGACTCGGTCGGTGACCTAGAAAAACAAACGTGTTTATTTTCAGGCCTGCGAATCGCGCGATCGGGTGATTTGCAGCCAATCACAACAAGGCTGAGTCACGAGTCCATGTTGACACTCAAAATCCGGTGGTGCCCTCTTCGAAAAAGTGCAGACTTTGCGAACAAAGCTACCCTACTTGTGTGAAAAACAATAAAAGCAAAACTAACAAACTGTGGTATTCCTGTTCATCTCCTCGAGAAACGAAAGAGAGTTTCAATACAAAGACTGCAGCACCATCTGAACCAAAGCGCGGACTTCCGCGGACACATTTTTGGCCGAGTGAACTAGAGCTACCTTCTTATGAACGATTTTGGTAATAGAAAGTTATCGATGTAACTATTGTAACCATGTTTATGGGATTCCCTGCTTCCGTAGCACTGCAACGGGGAACTGGGGAAAGGAGCCGTGAAAGCCATTGAGGTTAAAGGTTTCTCTACTTTAACTTCCGGGTCGTCGGGTACAATCGCGGCTGGGTTGTAGTATGCACTGAAACTACCAGAAAAAGACCCGACCTGACGACCTGACGACCTGACCTGAACCGACCCTATCCGCTCTTGCTAGTGGGCACCCCCTAAAAGGACACCACGTCGGGCCCGAGACAGGATTCGAAGCCAAGACCTTACGGTTGCGAACCGAAAGCCTAACCACAAGACCACCGACCCCTAAGACGGTGTATTCTCGTGAACAAAGGCAGTGCAGTATGGAAGAGAATTAATACTGTAATACTGGGTGAAAGAGTCAGGATATTTAATTCGGCTAGAGGAGTGGGAGATCTGTACTGTTCTATTATTTAGTAAAGAATCAGAGAACATGGGAAACTACTCATTACTTCCGGCTTGTGCGGCACGGTGCCGTTGATTACAGAAAATCGAAGTGAACACAACATGGGGAAAAACTGGGGATGTTATATTTTACTACTGACTGAAGATGTAGATCAAGAGGCATTCTATTTTTTTATGTGAAGAATTCTTTTGAGCTTTTTGCGCTCTACGGTTAAAATATTAATCTAGTGGCTATTTTAGACATCTTTAGAAGTCATCATTGAGCTGCATAGTGGAGCGGAGATTTGAAGAAAATGACTATCGCTTTGGACGTAAGCTGTTTTTTCCCCAGCATTCGTCAAGTGGGGATTTTTCTACTGAGGTTCAACTTTTTCCTAGACGTAATGGGATGTTTCTTCATTAGACTTTTCTTCAGAGCTTAACAAAGATGGCATTTATCCTGAAATGAAAATCAAACGAGTCAGGAACAGACAATTATTGTAAAGTGACTCGCATGACGACACATGATATAACTGCACTATTTGTGTTGCGACCCGGTGAAATAAGGCTCTCGTCACTTTTTGGGCATATAAAGTTATTGATATGGTCTTAAAGCTTGTTAATTCGTCTTGCTTTTGACGAAAAAAGTATGCATCTATCCTGAATAGAAGTCGACATATTATTTGAGTTTGAAGGAGATTGTGGTCGCCTGGTGTTAGAGGAAAATTAGCGAGAAACTGGAAGCCAAAGTTTGGTAACTCCCAAAGCTTCAGTGTCCTTGAAAACTGCAAATTCATATTTTTGATCTACTTTAAAAAAAGTAAAATCCACACTGTTATGCTTTTTAATGGAAATTAAATAATGGTGTTGAAAAGCTGTTTAAAATCGATACAAGTTTCCCTGTCGGTGACAAAATGGCGGTTACATCGATTTGATTTTGACGATCACCTTATTTCACCACGATGCCACACATCGGTTTTCTTTATCATTTACAAACTCACAGTAGAGTAAGGGAATCAAGCTGCAGTAACGAGTACACTCACCTGAGATATCCCTAGCATTGTTTTCAGTTCTTTGTGAAACGAGGCTGAAATTGAATATGAATATCGTGACAGATAAAGGGATAAAGAGATCAATATTTTTCGAGCTCAGTGCAAAAGCACTGAATTTTGGACCTTAAGATACAAGATTGTGCAGAATGGAAGTGACTGAAATTGGAGCAACAAAGTTATTAACTGCAGTATTGGGCTGGGAAGGAAGATCTTTTTTTTTTCAACAGTCTTGACGCTAGCGTTAGCAAAATCTCCCAAAAGTCTCAACTGAACTAGGTATAATAAAGGAAACTGCAGTAAGTACAATAAAGGAAAATGCAGTAAGTACAGTAAAGCGCTGAGTTAGAGTATTTTAAGGGCATTTAATATCTTCAAGTCTGATCTTTTCATATGCTGGACAAAAGAAGACACTTGCAACCACTGTATTTAACTATCAATAGCCTATGCCTTACTCGTATAATTTGTCTTTGAGTGTTTATGTGTATGTGATTCCCAGCCTGTTTATCTTCTTCTTTCTCACCCAATCCCACACTCTCTTTTACTCTCTCACTCTCTCTGTCTGTCTCTGTCTCTGTCTATCTCTGTCTCTCTCTCTCTCTCTCTGTCTCTCTCTCTCTCTCTCTCTCTCTCTCTCTCTCTCTCTCTCTCTTGTTATCTCTCCATCTCCATTTCCCTCTCTCTATGTCTGTCTATCTGCCTGTATCGCAGTCTCTTTCTCTCTTTCTGTCTCTCTCCCTCTCCTATCTGTCTGTCTGTCTGTCTGTCTGTCTGTCTGTCTGTCTGTCTGTCTGTCTGTCTAAAGGTGTAAGAAACATTTTGACTGTAGAGGTGGGATTCGGTAATTCCTATTTTCTCAAAACACGGGTCATGGAGTTAGAACCCTGCAATCCAAAGAGCATGGAGACGTGTTGTTTCTGGTTTGGTTATAGTTTGGGGTTGTAATAATAATAATAATAATAATAATAATAATAATAATAAATAGCGTTTGTATAGCGCATAACCCCGCTCGACAGAAAGCTCTATGCGCTTTACACTATATTATTACCCCAGCAGACCATAGAACACTCAGAAACATTCTCAGCTTCCCGGGAAGCATACAATACAAGCAGCTGATTAAGCGCTCAAACACTAACAAACTGACAAGATCTTTCACTGCCTTGTATCGATATCGTGGTGGATTTTCATGGATACGATTAGTGTAACAGAAGCAGATAGAAGCAATCGACGTGTGAGGTGCATGCATGCAGAAGATCTAGTTTGATTCCTCTGTAGGGAGACATTTTATCGAGTCCCTCGGTCTTTCTGTTGGGACGATGAATCTCTTTCAGCTCAGTTTGGCCATAACAGGCTGGGTCGAAACCCACCTCCTACAAGATCTAAATTGTGTCAATGGGGGTTTAAAAATACAAAGATAAAAAAAACAGCAAAAAAATTAAAACAAAGCAAAAATATTGAAAAAAGTAGAAAGAGCATACACCTCCCCCCTCGAATTTTTTTAAAAAATTAGCACCAAAAAAAAAGTAAATTCTCTAACGAAACACTAGATTCAGTCAGACGTTTTTATTTGCCTAGTGGCAGCAGTGAAACAAAAAAGAGTAAATAAATTTTTTAAAAAGGGTCAAATGTTTTAGACGTATTCTTCGATTCCAGAGCTGAAGCCGCCAGGACTCCATAATTTTCATGGGTCGAAAAAACCCCCCAACATAGAACCCTAAAGTAAATATGTAGAGCCTGACTTGTTTAGGGGGTAAACCAACATAGAAATAAATAGGTATTTTTAAAGACAATGATCTAACACGAAGCACTACGTTCTTGTCAATATATGAAATGGAAAGATTCATAATACGAGAAAGTAAATTTATAATGACGCGGTGGAATCAGACGCACTTCAATTTTTGGGAATATGGAGTTTATATTTTGTCTTGCTTTTGATGAGTGAAATATTCATATATCTCGATAAGAAGTCGAGATATTTATGATTGAATTAGGTGGTGGTTGCCTTATGTCAGAGGTAAAATCAGGGAGAAAATGGCAGTCAAAATTTGATGACTTACAAATCTTGAGTACCCCTGGTTACTGCAAATGTACATTTTTTTGAGTCTCTGATCGAAGCGTTTCAGTGAAATTTAGAGAAACATAAAATGATGTGTCTTTTGGATTAACATAAAAGGTGCTGACCCAAAATAACGTTTAAACACCCCGCCCCCTCCCTCTCATTTCAGTCGTGGGGGCGTGATTCGCAATAAAACGCTACTTGAAGTTGTTTTTTTCTTTTAAAGTATGTGGGAGGGGAGGGACGAATGTACTTTGGCCGAAAGATTGAGCGATCACAGACGTCTGATATGACCGTTACGTTTTCAAAGAGTTAATGGGGTTTCAATAAGGGAGCAGGGCTTAATCATGGTGGAAGCGTGTCACAGAAAAACAGTACAAACCGTCGTTGTTTTGGAAGGGGTTAAACTTTGGATGGTAGTCGCTGTAAAAAGACAAAGAAAGGAAACGGCAAGGGTTAATTCAATCATATTCCTGAATGTTAAAGATGGTGGATTACCCATATCATAAATCAAGCTGTTTGCAAGTTCTAGCCTTCGTCTGAGATGTGAATATTATGTAATTCATTTAATTTTCAAAACATCCCAACAGATAGGTCTTGATATTGGAATGTAAACTGTATCAATTCATGAAGCAGAGAGACTGTGATAAACAAATAAATTGTGGTCTTGGTAACAAGTAACGCATTCATGTAGTATTTCTCTATTAACATAATACGGTATGGAACGGATGCAACATCTCTCTGAACACAGTTAGGTAATATTTAAGGGTGTCTTCTTTAAAGTCCATCTTCGAAGAGACGAAGCGAAGTAGAATACAAGCCATAAATACCCCTAATTTTAGATCACTTTATTTCAGCATAATTTGTTTTAAAAAAGAAGAAAAACTGCTGTAATTGAGGATCTTTTTAACCACCATCGAAACAAATCAAAAGTACTTAGGAGGCGGGCTGTTTCGATCCTACCCGTTAGGGATGATTTCGGCAGAGAGAGATACAACGTCGCAAAAGAAAAACAGAGATTCTCTTTAAAAACTCTCTCCTCACAGGAATCGGTCTCATGCTTTCTGCGGGCATATGCGAAGTGCCTGACTGCTACACATCAGGCAGGGGAATAATACATGCCCAGTGTAACAGGTTTTCTCAAATAGGTTGTTTAATGCCTAGAAATCTGTACAAAACCGAATACCTTCATCCCAACGTCCCTTTCATCCCTCACACATTTCACACCTCTCTTCTCCCACCTTCAGTAAATGTGTAGATCTATATTTGTGGAAAGGGTGCTAAGACGAATGATTCTGTTTAATAAATTTCTGTTAAAAAAAAATAATAACATACCCTCCCCATCCTCTGTTCAGAAACCTAATTCGGGGTGCCCACTACGGGTGGGATCGGCCGACTCGGTCGCCTAAAAAACAAGCATGTTTGTTTTCAGTTTCAGGCGACCGAGACGGGAGATCGGCCCGATCCAGCTAGAGTGGGCACTCCGTGTAAGAGACATCGAAAGCTTCGACTTCTTCCACCGTTTATTTTCGTTCCCTCTGCTTTGTTGTACTTACTGTCCTCCCTCGTAACGCCCTGGCATGATGATTGGCCGGTTGTCAACGTACGGCACAACAAGAGGCTGTACAATTGAGCCGTAACCTGCACAGGAGAAAAGGTCAAAGGTCAAAGTCAAAATAAAGTCAATGTTACCAGCTCAAGGCAAAGCTGTCTCACAACGAAGTTCGAGTACACTGTTATGCAGGAGAAGCCCCATTACGTAAACCAAAGCTCCATTAGTGTTGGGTGAGGCCCATGTGGAAGAGGTCCTAACGACGAAAAAAAAATGAGGTCAAACCGGGTGTGTGGAACTATATTGTCTTGTGGATTAACACTCAGGAAGTGTGTTAATCATTACCACTTTTCCATGTTGCAACTTGATAATCCTATTTTAAGTTGACAATCAATACGCCCAGTGAGTCAGGATGAGAGCGATATGTTACTCAATCTGATGTTACTGGTTGAATTTGTATGCGTGGGAGAGTTTGGGCATCTTTTTGTTTCTTTAGGCTATCTGCCGGTGGAATTTCTAAAATCCATATCCCTTGACTATATGTAGCAAAGATGATATATTCATATTAGTCAGACATTAAATAATTAATTCAAGTAATTATTTATTATTATAAGCACATAGTTACCATGGTAACCAAGCAAACATCCGTCATATTGGATAATTTCATCAAATTTCAAAAGCTATCTTCTCTCTTAGTTTTCGTCCGTTCGCTTTCATTTTTAGCACGTACAAACTACAACACCTATGTAAAGAAAAATGAACGCCAGATTTATAATATTAAGATTAAGAAAATAATTATAGACTCTGGAAATGTGTACATAGATGAAGAGCAAAAAAATCTCAAAATTCCCAAGAAAAACACTGATTGTAATTTTAATCTTAGATTATCTTAAAAAAGGGTTCTATTTCAGTACAGGTCTCCTATGGATGTACATTATGTAAAATAATGAAGCCATTCAGAAGAAAAATAAAAGAGAAGATGTAATTTACAGTCGTAAAAATAAATATTTGAAAGAATGAAGAAAATATTTAAAAACATGACCCAAAATTGCAAATTATTTTTTTAAAACCCATTTTTAAATTACTTTAAAACATAATTGATTGGAGCGAACGCTCAAAACTTTGATGGAAATGGATGTAGGTTTCAAAAATGGAGAGGAAAAACTGTAGGGTCAAACTGGGTAAAATGGGGAAAATCTCATCCGCAGTAATTTCAGTTATAATAAAACTAATAAATGGAAGACACACTGTTTGACTGAGGTCTTTTGTGATTCTTATTATCATGATTGCTGTAAGAGGCTGCCGGTTGTACAACCTTCAATGCAAGTAATTGTTCACATGTTACCGCTTTTCCTTATTTGTAAGGTCTGCTGCCTTCAGGCAGCAACATTCATGTTTTGAAAGAACTGTATATTGATAAACTTTTTATACTGACTAAAATATTTTCAATTTTGTTTGGAATTAATTTTGAAATTGCCCAGGTGGAGCCTGAAACCCTAATTTTCGATTTCAGGACCACCAGGGCATCTTTAAAGTGCGCAACTTGCGCTTGGGATCTCTTAGATTCTTGGCCCTTATCCGAGAAGGTTAGCTGTTCGATCTTGCCTATCAGGGGTGTGGCTGAGAGACAACAGTAAGAAGAAGCCAAGTGTAGAAGTAGTAAGCGTTAGCAGTAAAGGAGAGATGAGCCTAGAAGCGTGCACAAGGTGGGGGTGGAGGGACTGGGAATGAAGGCAGATAACAGTGTATTTTGGCCTTTCCAAAAAGGGGCATATTAATATGTTCTTATGGGCTCATACTATGTCTTAACAACATATTGGGAACTGCTGCTTTTTCTGTCCTCATCCTTACTATCGTCATTTTTCCTCTACTTCTTTTGCATGTTTATCACTCTCTTGAGAACTGCTATTTCCGGGGTGCCTTTATAGTTGAAGCAGACTTTGCGATGTTTGGACTTCTCTGTGGACATCCACCCCTTGGCGCTCAAATGACCTTATGCAGTTGCGAGCGCGTAAAACCTTACTAAAACTCAATACATGTACTTATTATATATCTGGCTGATGACTCGAAACAAGATTATTGATGCTCAACAATAATATTGATATATGTACTCAATGAAGATAAGGGTGCGGCCATATGGACACTTACGTGAACAGGCTTTTCGTGATAACGTATAATGAATTCAAAGACGAGTATGCAAATATTTTGTGAGTGATGGCGGTGTTGAGACACCGAGGGCAGACGTAAGCGTTAAGCGTATCTTACATAATATTATAAAACGGAAGAGAACGACAAAGAGAGCGAGGGGGG